AAAGAAATGTTTTAGAAAAACATAAAATCACGTAAAGGCCACTGAATTGGGTCACATAAAAGTAACTTTATTTCATTATGCTGAAGTTATGTAAACAAATTGTGTTTTCCAACAAAGAATTATTGAACAAAACTGAGAGAAAAACAATCTATATATAGAACTGTTGTACATGATTTTATCATCTGAATTTAAGCATTTTGTTCAGCGCACAACACATTACTTCATTATGGTCATGGTTGGTCTCCTGAATAGCGCACAGTTCAGGTCACTTGTTTTTCCAGAGTTTTTCAAAGTGTACACAGTGTCACACCAGAGATCTTTCTCATCTCTTCTTGTCCTGACAGCAGTGACTTTAAACTTCTCATATGGAGGAATCAGCACCTCTCTCTCATGAGAAAGCTTTGAATATTTTGACACATCAGCACCTTCACAAGTTTTGATTTCAAAACAAGATACATTTCCAAAACGCTGTGCTTTTTTACGAACAAGAGAGGAAGAAGCAAACTGGCCAAAACGAACTTCTTTGTTCAGGACATGCTTATCAAATTCAGCTTTGGTACCACGAAAAGTTGAATAGCATTTGTTTTGTGTTTTCTTCAGAAGCTGTATCGCTTCTGTTAACAGAAAGTAAAGTGAATACCATTTGTATGTTTCATTTTTGTACTGTTTTTTACCAGAACGAGTGTCATTATTAAAAAGTGTATATATATTACACTCACTGTACACATAAATAGCGATTGAATGATTCTTTGTCAGCTTGTCATTTTGGGTCTTGACAAAGTCTACACCTTTTTTCCAAGCATTTTTAAAACCAGGTGAGTTATTCATTTCCTTGTTTAGAAATACCGTCTTCACCTTTTCTGCCATTTTCTCTCTACAGCCCTTATATTGATCATCAACTGATTTTTTTGCCATATCAAGTGAAAATATCTGTTCTTCAACAGCTGCTCTGTGATCCTACAGCAACAGGAATCATAATGATCAATCGTCAGTATTCATGTCTGTAATATTCATACTAGAACACAAGCTTACCTGTCCTAGAGCAGCTAAAATGAGAAGAAGAGCTTCAGTGATCAGCAGCATCTTGATTCAGTCAGATCCCTCAGATGTTCTTGTAGATCTAGTGAAGAGCAGATGCTGAAAGACAAGAAACACAACAGTGTTTCACAAATACTAAACCAGTATAATAGAAAGCAATATGTACATTGACCTTTCATGTGAGCACCAAATGTACCTGAGAATATTGTTCTGTCTT